AGGTTAGAAAGCGATAAATAGCAAGGTTTAGTAGGTACCACACATTGTAGTAATCAAGTCAATATCTAAAAATATGTTAACAGTTGATAGTTGTGATATTCAATAGCCGATAAGTGTCTACAAATAGTTTTTCCACAGAGATATAACTAATTCAGGATGGTAATTGTATTTTGACCATGAACAGATTTGCAACATAATTTTAGTAATAGATACATGAAAACTATACTGTAAGTACTGTACAGGCATACAGTATACGCAATTAACAAGTAAACGCAGACACAAACTTAAAAAGACTATTATAATAAAGTTGTTCATTTATTTTTCCTTGTACATTTCTATGAATTTTTCAAAAGACTTAAGCTTATTAATATTAAACATATTCTATAAAATACGAGTATTATTAAATAACTGCGTATAACAAATGCAAATCGATTTACGAGTATATTCCATTTATCTGCTTCAAGCAGGCTAACAGGCAAGGAAAAAATAAATTTATTGTCATATATATATATTAGTAAATTGCATACCTATATTATTTTGTATCTTTAGACTTTGATATTCACAAAGAAATAATTAAACTCAACTAACAATATTGACGTAATCGTACAATGCTGTCAATGTCTATAAATGTGATAAACTGTGAATTGTTCCGTTCTATACATAAGTTACATATTTAATAGAAACTGAATCAAACATTATAGTTCAAACTACCACGAAAATATATTATAGAAATATTAATGTCAAATTTTTAGTTATATTGACAAAACAAAATTGTTGTGTTTGGCAGTAGATACTTGAAAAAATTGTGAAAAAACTAGGCCTCGCTTCACGTTGTTCTCACTAAATTTTTCTCATGACACACTAAAAAAAATATCAAAATTCGACCTTATTATGGAGTATATTAGTTTAAACTTAAACCTACTATTAGTGTCTATTTATGCAAAATGTATGTATACATAAATATTCTGATAGAAAAAGTAATACATTCATATACTACGATAATTTTTGTATAAAAACAATTGAATAAAATAGAATAAATCCAGCATTTTATTTTTTAATTACGGGTTTGCCACATTTCATCTAAATAATAAATTAACAATATTTTACTTTCATTTCATTTTTGATAATTTGGTAATTACTGTATTTGTTAATAAGAAAGCAGTTTAGCGAATAATTGTAATATATTAAGTGTCACGATGTGCTGATGCAGTATGTATTAAAATAATTATTATATGCAGTAAAAAACGTTCAAACCTATATGCTAAAACCACAATTACAATAAAGACGAAATGTTCCTAGCATATTAAAGGAACTAACTAGACAACTTACGAGCAAATCTCTTTCTTTTATTATCTAGTATAATAAAATGTTCCATACAGCTTAAATTGTAACTATAATGACTACGGTCCATATATTTAAATATAATATTAAAACAATGTAAACGTATTAAGAATGTTGACGAAATAAATTTGTGAGTGCTGAATAAAAAAAAAATATAAATAATAATATATTCTAAGTGGTAATTGATATAATATTGTATTGTTATTATGCATGGTGATAGCACTTGTTGTTACCGGAATGACACGATTCTGATTTTTGATAAATCGACAATACTGCAAATGCATTCAAAAATATCGTTCGTATAATTTCGCTTACAACACTGTTCACGTAAAACCTAGAAATACGTATACCCGATTTGTTGTCCAAAAATTATGTTCATTAAAAAAAACCTGTATAGTTTCGTCTCAAGAATATTTTATTATGCTTCCAAACGTTCTGGACGAACTACGTATATTCGCGCGGTCGATCGTTATAGTACTGTACATAATAAATAATAATAATATTATACAGTTTCACTTTCGCAGAATGGGTAGAAAACAACTTTTACACGACTGCGCGACGTATATTCTTCTTCCATTCGCCGGCTGCGATCGTTATTATTTTTATTATACTATGTCTACCTACGCGTGCAGTATACAATAATAATATGGTATTATTAGTATCACGAGTCGACGGAAAACTAGTCGGTGACGTCGCTTTCAAAAAATACTTAAATACCCTAACATCGTCACACCATACATCACACAGCGGTGAAAATGATATACGAATAATAACAATTATTTTAATAATGATACATCAACATGATGTTGCTTCCGACGAACAGCCATTAATTATAAAATATATAGTCTGATGAATGTGAGATCGCTGTATTAATAATGAATTTTAATATTGCATCGATTAATGCACAAGTACGTGGTCATAAATTCATAACACTCATAATTTATAAAATTATACGTGGTGGTGTAATTACAGATTGTGTTGAAACTATGCAAAGTGGAATATTTTATTATAAACTTACGTATTTTTGAATAACAATGTTGCACGTATTAAGTATGTAATGTAATGCGTGTTTGATAAAACTCCGATAGAAAAGTTTAGAACGTGGTAAGTTTTAGTCAGTTATGCGAACACACAATTTCAAGTTTTATCCTCTCCCTGCTATAAAAATGTAGGTATAAATACCGAAGTACAAATTTTACCATATAGAATATAGATTATCTAATGAAGTACTACGATGTACCTTAGCGAAATGTTACGCCATGCGCCACCTGACCATCGTGACATCGTCAAACTGTTCATCGTCATAATATGAATAATGACGACCGCGCGCGATCGACAACAGACTGCGTTTACTTTCGTGAGTTTTTCACGCATTGCTTGTAGACTCTAGTTATAATCGATTTGAAACCAACGAGAATTGTTTTTAGGAAGTGGAAGTCTACAATATAAATAGTAATATGCAATCCGATCCACTTGTACATGCATATTACTATACACCGAATACTAAATAATAAGAACTACTAAATAATAATTATTATATTTAAATCGGGCGTCAGTATAAATTGCGAATTTTTACAGCGTCGTAACAACATAATCATTAAACGATGACGGTTTTACGTTACTTATTATTACATTATTATTATTACTATTGCTGTACATGCGATTATTTTATTTCGCTCTGGGTTCACGTTCCAAGCACAAATTAAAATAACTTTTAAATTTTACTTGAAAGATATATTACGCCCATTTTTAAAATTTAATGTCGAAATATGAAATCTATATCAGTAGACATAATAATTAATAAGTATATATCATATATGAGACAGATAACATAAAGATACAAAACATTGAGTTAGGTACCCATTGATGACACTTAAATTATTGATTTTTTCAAAGTTATAAAGAAACTTAGAAGGTATAAAATATGAATTCAGTGCTGTTCCAACAGAATATTACTATATGTATTATTATGATCTCAAGGTTTTGTATAAAAATATATCAAGTGATTAACAAATTAAAAAAAAAATAACTTTTTAACGCGGGATCTGCACCATTGGTCTTTCAGACATAACTGGCGGTAATTTTTGAATCTCCGAGTAGATTAACTTAGATACTAAGCGGCTACAGCATGAATAATAGAACTAATTATTTAGCTTTTTTGAAAGAACATACTTTGTCGCCTAGTCTAAAAATTTAAGATTTCTTTTTAAACACATTCATCGATTCGTATACATTTCATATTATAAGATTTAAAAAAAAATGTAATTTTAAGTTCATTTCTACTCTCTCTTTATTACCAAAATATTAAATATTCATCATAATCGGACATTTAACGGCTTGATATATAGGTATCTACTTTTAAAACATCGGAAACATCGATAAATATTATAAAAATAAAAAGTGCGTGTTATATTGTACACAAAAAATTATTATTATTATATTCTTACCGCTGTCGTACGGTAGCATACATACTTGCCTTACGAACATGGTGCGCGAATTGCTCGGCTGAGTATGGTGCGCGCCGCGCGGTGTGTTTAGCAGCGGTGAGAGAATGGGAAACGAGCTATCGCGGTCATCTTTATGGGCGACTGCGCGACGACGACCGTATAACGCTCGCGTCACGTGCGAGGTGAAAGAATGATTTACACAAGATCGAGGTTTTGTATTAACCTTGGCGAGAGACGTCGCCACTACCGTCGTAGTCGTCGTATTATTACGAAACCAATAAATATATCAAACTGATACGAATTAATATACGAAAAACGTTGGCCGAGTGTAGGTATAATATGTGTACACTGCTATAATTGTGTACTCGGATGTATATTTTATAAATCGAATTATTATTAATATTATACATTATACTATGTTGTGTAAATAATATTAATATTCACAGATTTCTCTACGAAACAAGATTAGGAACTCTGAATGCAATGAATACAGAATAATTGAAGTAAGATGTGGTATTATAGAAGACTGTACTTATATAATATCATATATGCGCGACATGGAACATAATATATTGTCTACATTCTTCAGTTTGCAAATACGGGATAGGAACAACACCATTATTATTTTTGCTATTACCGGTGTAATATTGTTAGGTACCTATATACCAGTGACCAAAAACTATACTCGATGATAAACGTTCAGTTTGAAACCAAAAAAAAAAAAAAATAAAAACAAACCGAAAATAATAATAGAAATACTTTATTATAAATTATTGTTGAAACATCATAATGTATTGTCTCAAACGCGACTTCGACGATACTGCAAATGTTTTACGGAAAACAAATGGGGATAGAATGTGCGATCGGTGCATAGAAACCGCCTATGTTCATCAGATATTATTACAATACTACAATTGGCTACCACACTCAAAGATAATACTCAACAAGACGTGTTCGTATTTTTTTTTTGTTTTTATCCGTCATCATTGTACGACAGAGTTTACGTAGCTACAACTGATCATAATATCGTGTATATTATAAGTGTTACTTAAACAAGCACTACATAAATAAAATCGAACGTCGATTTGTATGTAATGCAAAAATAATTGCAATCTACAATAATATTGCTCAGATTTCGATAACGAATGAATTGGTAAATCGTTTTTATTTAGTTGTTTTTACTAGAAAGAAGTACATGTTTAAAATCCTTACCTTTGGTGTACCGATGTACGACACTGCAGATAAAATTTTTCTAGATTCTTTGAAACCACTTTGCATAACCTAAAAACAAAATAAATTTCTGTGATTATATATAATATAATGCATAAGTTAATAATTTTATGCATATTATATTCTTTAACAATATTTAGTTCTCATATTATTGTACAAAATTGTTAGTAAATATAAACAGATGTTTAAAATTATTACAAATGCTGTATACAGGTAATAAATTATTGGACAAATAATTATTTATTGGTTAATTAAGATTTTATCAGTTGGTTGAAAACTGGAAATTATACCATCTCGAAACAACTGATTAAAAAAAACGTTATTTTTGCGCGTACACGTTTTTTCTCTATTACATAGCAAACATAATTAGGGTCAAGGCTAGAATCAAATTACGGTTCTATCACAATTATTATTGTCGCCATGAGATCGTAAACATTTTGTTATTATAAAACACACACGCGGCGATGTGATAAATATCAAACACTATGGTGTAGACGACGATTTCACATTTTTATAATACATCCGAACACAAATATAAATCTGTTATTAAATAATTATTAATACGAAAGCACATGGACGTGATATATTCAATTTTCGTAGGACGACTATAAAAAATGAACAATCAGTTAATATTTTCACATAATTTCATAGAAGTTTTTTAAAAAAACTTTCTTTGGCTCGGATTTAATTAAAACGAGAGTTGTTTTTTCACGAGTTTGATATTTCCGAAACAATCCGTCATAAATGTGTCGAACACATGCATATTATTTTTGTAGAAATGTTATCTGCTCGTATAACAAGGCTCGTATATTATTATTATTACAATTTATAACTCATGAACTTACGACAACGTACATACAATGAACGAGAGAAACGCGATAAGTATCTGGCCCGGATTTGTAACGGCACATCCAGGATTGCAGCGACGCATGACGGCCGAAGACCTGAAGTAGGAGTTAGATGTAGACCAAAATTAAATTTAAAGAGAGACTTTTAATACCTAAGAAGACGGAAGTGGTTTGTTTTTTTCCGTAATAGAATAAAAATCGCATTTTAATTCCTCTCTACGCGTATATTACGCATAACATTATACGTACGATGCATATTTTATATTCAAGGGAACATAACGAATTTCATTCTGACTTTATATGAATATACAACGAGGTGGGTAATGTGTATACGGCGAATTTTTAACACAACATATAATATATATTATAACAATATAAATAATAAAAACCATTTTCGCATGAAAATCGTTATTTGTCAGTTTGTCACATAAAACGAGCATAGGACTTAGATTGCAGTCATACTCGGGTTTTCGCAGACGATATAATTTTTAATTCGAACGGATAATAGTAGACATAGGTGTATAGCACGGGCGAAGGTAATATGATACCAGGCAGTAGGTATAGTAAAACCTGCACAATTATTGTTAATCTACAACGGCGCATCTGCAGTGTATAATGTTTATACTTGTATGTATAGTGTTCACAAGTGTTATATATATTATATAATTGTACAATATAATAATATGCAAACTCGGCGGTAGCGGAAAATCAATTCATTTTTGCGTATCGTGTACTACAGAAGGTTGTTTGAAGACGACGCATTTTTTTCTCTCCATTTTTCCTTGACGGCTACGAAAGAACATAACATACGACGATCGATCTATCGAAGGTCTTTTACACCGTACACGCTCGTCACAGCAGTATGCCTGCAGCTGTGTATTGCTAGTACTGTGAACGCTGCGAATAATGTGCCCGTTCTATTTGTTGGATATGTTTGTTTTATGCTTATCACATATTGGTATATATTATACACGTCAGACGCATGACATACATTCTACAAACTTACACACAATACTCATACTCAATACTAAAAATACACTTTACGATGGTATCCAAATTTCGTGATTTTTTTATAGTTAGCCCTGCAAAATAGGATTGTGTTTTTGTATCTTAACAATAAGATAAAAGTGTAAAATACATAAAGTTAAAGTAATTTTCATTTTAAATTTTACAATCGTTATACGTATTCAATTTTCATATACTTTAGATTTTTATGTTTTAAAAACAAAATTTATTGAGTTCAATAGAATTACCTATGTTTATTGTATATATATACATTATAAATTGTAACAAATTATATGTATGTACCTATTTAAATAATATATAACTTAAATCTAATTGGGTTTTTTGGTAGTTACTACCTATCTACTAGTTATTTTTATTAGTTGTTACTCATTACATTTATCATTATATAAGGGTATTATAAATATATCATTATTGATTATAGAAGTTATTTGTATTATACACCTAAATCAGTATCATTAATGTAAGGGCAACGCGATTATACCTCCAACCTCGGTCAAGTTTGATATAGATAAATTGGAAAATTAAGTCTGAACACTAGATATTATAGCTTTTTTTGCGGTTATGTGTGTTTTTATAGCGTTTTTGGGTTATATTTGGGCCTTATGCTCGTATTTTACGCTTGTCAACAAAAATCCTGTAAATATCTTATAATGTGCTAAGAAATCTGGTACAGTGAAAAATAGAATCACTACCAAAAAATGTTGTATTATATTTATCTTATAAATTGTAAATAGGTACGAGATGAAGTTTTATTTTGAAACATTTCTGAACTAGCGTGATCAAAAGAAATCACAGAAAAATTATATTTCACACATATTATCATATATATATAATACATAGAAATAGATCATGGATAAAGAAATAAATATAAATAGCTGTTAATATTAAACGTTATTGATGTTATATACAGAAGATGCTATTTTGTCTCCTCGCCACCACCATAAATAACTCCAATGGAATGGAACTAGATTTTGATATAATTTAGTACACGAGGATGGTATATAAATATATAATATTTTATAATATACGCTCGATCGCAAAAAAAGCGGTTGTGCATGTTGATGGTAAAGGTTGGGTCAAAGTGGAAATTTTACTGCGCGATTTCCCAATTCGTGTGGCGAGAATAATTATTGTTTTCTTATTAACACCAATCGACTGACTCTGACAAGGCGAAATACTTTAAGTGTTAAGTATTTTCGGATAATCTCGTGTGAACCCCCTAGAACATGGTAATCGGACATTCGGGGCTGGCCATCAAAATCAAACGCTCGTTAGTAAAAATGGTTGGCGCGAAAACTACGTGTATCGATCACACACGCATAATCCGCGCGAGGCATCCACATTAATATTATTTATTATTATTATAGGTGTGCGCATTGGCCACGGTGCAGATGACGCATACAATAGCCGTGGCGGAAAATGGTACTATGTAATATAAATTGCTTATTGATCAATTAAGCCGTTAATCTTCGGTAGCCGTTTAGTGTTTTATATATTATATATGTATGAGAACGCAAGCGGGCAACTGAGGTCAGCAGCGATGATGGCATTTCAACGGGCGATTACACAATACACGGGCAGAGTATTACCCACCTATAAACTATACACAGTATTATATAATTTCCTCAAAATCATAAAAATAGTTATGTTTTTTCACCAACAACTGACTTTATTCTTAAATAAAGCCACTGATTTGCTCACGGGGTGAATTGGGCCTAATTATGTTTTTATCATTACATTAATAAATATAGAAAAGTAAAAAACAAAAGATAGTTTACAAGTTTCAACTAAAATTTGAATAAAATGGCGTTTGTAGTTATTGATTATAATTTTTTAAGAATTTATTTATTTATTCGTAAGACGAATGAGTAATTATTCCACTAATGAACATTTACTATACAATGTAGTTATAGAAACAATTTTACATATATATTATAAACATAAGCACAGATAATATTTATCAGGGTAGAATAGTTAATATCAAAATCTTTGTAAATATATGAAATGTCGAAATAATATAGATCAATTAAACATTGATAAATTAGATTTAAAATTCAGTCGATAGTGATCAGCGGAGTTTCGTTTGTAAAATCGTCATGTTTCATCGCAAGTGCAGCTAAATGGTTTCCCATTTAAAAAGTCGTATTAATAAATAAACATTATTTGAAAATGTAAAGCATTGGTAAAAAAGAATAGCCATCCGATAAAAAAATATAAAAATGTGTTTTTCAGGTAGTGCTGATTTTTTCAACAACTTGCCAATTGGATCCCAGTACGACTTTCACGTACTAGCGAACATTCATGTGCTCGTGTGTTATAGTCCGACATCGACTCTTATGACAGGCGCGCGCGCGCGGAGGAAACCCACCGCACATTTCTTAACGAAATAACCACCTTGTTCAAGACTTGTCGAATTTTTTTTTAGTATTGTTATAGACGGATTATTTTATACGCTAGTTGTCGTGTGTACACAATTGCCAAGTGTGCATAATAATATGTAACTATGTAAATTGTAAGTGGTAAGTCGTAGTATGTACATTATAATATTATTGCGTTCAAACCACGCGCTGTTACTGTCGTAAAACAATATTGTCGTCTGTTGATGTGTCACGTGAGCGCGAGTGTGCGTGCGAGTATAATATCGGACTGTGTACCCGCTAACACACATGTTTCAAAACCGCTTGTCCCGAACGGGCCTTTGTGCGTTACTGGAAAAAAAAACGCACGTCGCACCACTATGGTATACGTCATAACATTATTGTCATAACGTGTATAGCGCAATATATGTATTATGTACTCGTACAAACACAATTATAAAAGTGTATTTAAGCATAATAATTAGTGTTTGTTTTTCGACGCGTGTAATTAATGAATTATACACAGTGTTGTAAAACATTATTCACGGACACGGTTCGCATTTACTGTTGTCCGCAAATCGTAACACGGTATATTCGCGCTGTTGTTTAGCCGTATGATGACGTATTATGTAGCATTTTCCTGGTGTCTGTGCGCTTTTCCGTACACCCAAGCCTAGTCCCGGCGACATCTGAACGCGAAACGAAATAATATACAAAATAGTAAATACATGTCATCGTACTGCTATAAAACGCGAGGGGATGTAATGTATATACCGAGTCGCGCGCACGATCATAATATTTCGGGCGATTGGCGTTGTAC